ACAAAAGCACAGACTAGTCAAGTTTGTAAACAAGGTAACTGTGGAGAAACAGACACAGACATTTGGGTCAGACCCAAATGATGACAAATACAGTGTGAGGCAGCCTAGGGCTAGCAGGGTCACACAGGAGATACATGAGAGCGCAGAGAATGCTCAAGAGACTAGTGCACAAAGTGACAGTCCAGTAACTATGTCTGACGACAGTAGCCAAACACAACCAAGTGGGACAGATGATGAATCTGAGGGTGGGAGATACCCGACTAGAGACAGAAGGAAACCAAGTCACTTAAAGGATTTTGTAACTGGTGATAGTGATGGGATTCATACTACCGTAGACTACTGCTACAGAGCAGTATGTGGCATCAGACATGTAAGGAGGCTATGACGTCAACTGACTCAAGAGAGTGGGTCAAAGCCATGGATGACGAAATCCAATCATTAAACGACAACAACACATTTACCCTGACAAATCTGCCAAAAGGCAAAAAGACAGTGGGGGCAAATGGGTTTACTCTATCAAAAGTGATATTCAGGGAATGGACAAGTACAAAGCAAGGTTTGTGGCCAAAGGCTATAGCCAGAGGATGGGGATTGACTATGGAGAGACTTTTTCCCCCACGGCCAGCTTGACGAGTGTAAGAGTGTTGTTACAGAAAGCAGCACAGGAGGACTTGCTACTGCATCAGATGGATGTAAAAACAGCGTACTTACACGCTCCTATAGATTATGAAATCTATATCAAACAACCAGAGGGTTATGAAGAAAGAGGGGAAGGTCTAGTGTGTAAGCTAGAAAAATCTCTCTATGGTCTAAAACAATCCGGTAGAAATTGGAACAGGATTTTGCACGATTGTTTAACTGAAGACGATTTTGCACAGAACCCAGCAGACCACTGTGTCTATGCCAAAGAGAGCGAAGGTGGAAAGGTGATAATAATCATCTGGGTCGATGATCTGATCATTGCAGCTAGCAATGACAAAATACTGAAGGAAGTGAAAGAGATGCTCTCTGCCAAATTTAAGATGAAAGATTTAGGCAACCTAAAACATTTTCTGGGTATCGATTTCAAACAGTCGGATGGATGTGTCAAGATGTCACAGGAAAAATATGTTAACAAGATACTGGAGAGGTTTAACATGCAAAACTGTAAACCCAGAGAAACACCCTGTGATCAAAAACTTGACTATACAGAAAATGCAGTGAAAATGGATGATGTCGGGATGTACAGAGAGGCGGTAGGCAGCCTTATATACCTGACCACATGTACAAGGCCAGATTTAAGTTTTGTTGTGAGCAAACTATCACAATATTTTTGCTGAGCCTACAGAGGAACAGTGGGTAACTGTGAAACATGTGTTAAGATACCTTAGAGGCACTATAGAGAAAGAGTTGTGTTTCAGAAGAAACGATAGTGAGAAGCTAGGCTTACTAGCCTACAGTGATGCCGACTGGGCAGCTGATGTCACCGACAGGCGCAGTACCACAGGATACTGTGTAAGCCTCAGTAAGAACAGCTCTTTAGTCTCATGGAAGAGTAAGAAGCAGCCTACAGTGGCACTTTCCACCTGTGAGGCGGAATACATGGCTCTAGCCTCAACTATACAAGAGTGTATATATCTAGACCAGTTACTGGAGGGTATCGATGAGTACAAATATACACAAACAGTAGTGTATGAGGACAACCAGGGAACAATTGCCCTAGCCAACAACCCTGTAAGCAGACAGAGGTGTAAGCACGTGGACATAAAGTACCACTTCATAAGATCAACTGTAAAGGATGGGAAAGTAACTCTGGTGTACTGCCCTACTGAAGAGATGGTGGCAGACATAATGACAAAACCTGTAACTAAGCTGAAACTGAAGAAGTTTGCAGGAATCGTTTTTGGAGTTTAAAATGTGTGAGGAGGTCCACATTTTCATTTTGTTTACATTTTTGGAGTACAGCAACCTGAGAACAAGTGGGGGTGTTGAGGGAAATGTTTACATATGTCCTCAGTTATTGTATGTAATACTGTTATTGTACCACTGTGAGGCACTGTAGTATTACGTGCTACGTAATGACCAGTCTTGCGTCATGTAAATGAGGGTGTGTTCACCTGATGCACGTGTACACTGTCTATGTTTGTTCTCTTCTAAGTTAGCTCGGCTGAGCGAAGGAATCACCTGTGAAGCAGAGGAATAAATCATGCTCAAGGGCTAAACAGTTCATCGTCTCCGTCTCCAATATTTCTCTCCGAGTCCAGCGTATGAAGAAGCTGCCATCCTAAACCTCAACGAAAACAATATTTAACATAAAGTTAAACAGCAGATCCTAATAATCTGTATTTGACTAATCATAAGGTTGCGTCTGCGTGTCAATGACGGCTGCTGCCTGCTGCTCTCCCGTCACACACCGCACCTCCAACTTAAAGCCTTAGCCCCGCCCCCTTCACCTGAGCAAAGCACACCTCTCACTGAAACAGAACAATGCATTAATAAAGGTTCCAAATAAATCAAAATAAACTTAAATGCGGCTCCTACACATTATATTTGTATCATTCATCAAAGATGGCAGAAAAACATGCATTATGGAGGCTACTAAGGAGGGGACTCTGACAGAGGATCACTCACAAAGTACACAGTAAAAGTACTTCATTTTATTTCTGGTAGCAGTCAAACTAGAACCGAGTCCAACAGAGTCAGTTTCCTTAAGAACTTGTGGTAACAAATATTTGTATCACTCGTCAAATATAGCAGGAATAATGAAGAGCAGCTGATTTGAAAAAACAAACTCGAGAGACGGCGGAGTGACCGCAGTGCAGAACCGCTGTAGTTTAAATCTCCTCACAATGTTGTCCATTTTAGACACAGGCTTATTATATTTACAGCAGCGGCGTGCAGTCAGGGGAGGCAGAGCCTCACCTGTCATACTCATAGACTGGCCATACTACAATGTAACGGAAAAACAACTAAAGAAAAACTAAATAGTAATAATAAAATGTCTCCACTGATCTGTTTTGTAAGTGTGATTTCTGTTTGATTCCAATCGCTTCTTATAGTCAAAATCAGCAACATTTCCGAGCTCCGCTACAACTACGGGTAGCGAAGAGGAGTGAGGCAGGGACGAGCTCTGCCTCTCGTAAGCCCACAGTAACTTGCTGGAGCGCGGGCACTAATGTAGCGCGGGCACTTGTTTTGTGAGCGCGCTCAAGCCAGTTACTGTGGCTGCTTCTCAGGTCGATTAAATGAAATCCTTGCTTCCCTCACTTGCGTCGTTTCCCTGCCTCTAGTCCCTCCCACCAGGGAAGCATGGAGGGATGCAAGGAAACCACGAGAAGCAGGAAATGAGTTTTAAGAGCAATGGGACGTCCTTTCCTCCGGAGCGTCACGTGAAGCGACGTCCGTTTGTGATGACGCTGCACAGCTGATCGTCTGACAGCAGCTCTGTCCCCGTTATTTCCACACACCCCCCCGCCTCTGTTAGTACACATTTACTGACACTAACATGTGTATCATCTGTTGTAGACCCCAATACATTAAATAAAATAAGAAGTCATTCTCAAAAAGATAAATGCCATTCTTAAAATGTATAAACGAACAACAGTTAGATTGATATTGATTAGAGTGCACAATAGAAATAAAATAATTGAGAGAAGAAAAAGAGATATGTTATCTATCAAAACCCAGTTAGATTAACATTCATTGGATTGCACACTTTGTGTGTTTGTTTGGATATGTAGCACATTAACATGTTAATAGCACTTAATGACTGACTGAATGGAAATGACAATAAATTCAATTCTTAAATTGTAAAACGAAAAAAGCGATCATGAAAATGTTTCCAATAATGATGTTTGACCACTTTGTTGTTCAGATATTTCACATATTTGTAACTAAATGAAACAGGAATTGAAACAAAACACGGTATAACCTGAGGAGTGAGTCCCGTGAGGTTCATGTATTTTCTTCACTCTGCTCTCATGTCAAGAAGCATCAGATCAGTGCATGCACTGCCTCGTCCAATCAGTGAGCGATACACAGTAAGGGGGCGGGGTTAGTATCTGAGGATTTCATCGGAGGATGGTCTGGTGGTTCCTCGGTTATCGCTCCTCCATGATCGCTCCTCGCTCCTCGATCCTCGGTCCTCCGGCAGAAATAAGAGCCATGGGACGGTACTCAAGATGACTGCGGTCAACTCAGCCGTCTCTCAAATTTGCTTGGTCAAATGAGCAGTTCTTCATTTCTGAGTGCGCGATTTATAGCGCCTTACGGTAATCGCTGAGAAGCGGCACCAACGCAAGAGTAAAAGAATGCATGTTTTTTCTGCTTCATGCGATACAAATTATTTTTACCATGAGTTCTTAAAAAAACTAACACTGTTTGACTCAGTCCAATGAAATGAAGTACTTTTACTGTCTTTTTTTCTGGGTAATATTCTCAAATTCCCTTCCTGAGAACAAAATCATGCAACTTCTGCTATATTTGATGAGATAAAATGATTTTTAGCGATACATCCTTAATAAAAGTGATACTGTTGGACTCACTACTTGTTAGAGTACTACCACAAGTACAATCAAGTACTTTTACTGTGTACTTTTGAGTAATCCCCTGTCAAACTCCCCTCCAGAGTACAATAATGCATGTTTTCTGCCATCTTTGATGAGAGATAAAATGATTTTGTGCAATAAGTTCTTAATGTAATTGGTACTGTTGAACTCAGTACTACTTGGACTACTACCAAAAGTACAATCAAGTACTTTTACTGTGTACTTTTTGAGTAATCCTTTGTCAAACTCCACCCCTGAGTACAATAATGCATGTTTTCTGCCATCTTTGATGAGAGATAAAATGATTTTGTGCAATAAGTTCTTAATGTAATTGGTACTGTTGGATTCAGTACTACTTGGACTACTACCAAAAGTACTACGCTGCTTTTAATTGAACTATTCACATCTTAGACTGCACTGTAACTTTTATCCATGTATTTTTTCTTTTAATGTTTATTTTATTAGCTTTTCTTTTTAATGACTGATTTTAAATGCCCTTTTCTTAATGTCTTTCATTTTTTGTAAAGCACTTTGAATTGCCTTGTGTTGAAAAGTGCTATATAAATAAACTTGCCTTGCCTAATAAATGCCACCACAAACCCGAGCTGGATGAAGTTGTCACCAGTGCTGTGGTGGTGTTCTCCAGCTCCCACAGTGACAGAAATGTTGGAAAACATTTTGAAAATCTCCAAGGACTACTGACAAATTCAGCGCAGTCAAACTTGGACGATTCAACCATTGTGGAAGACTGTGTGGTATGTAATAATTATGTGAATGTTGGAAGTTGTTTCATAGTTCAAAAATATCATTACAAATTATTTGTTTACCTTCAAGTCCAACACAGCACAGAAAAGAGGACAGAGGCTCTGTGACCAGAAACAATGAAAAATATTAACATGGTTTATATATTTTTCTATTACCCCAAGTTCAATGCAATGCAACTAAAGTTATTTGTGGATTGTTTTTTCTAGAATGATATCGGACCTACGCCCTTCAAACAGCATTTTGAGGACTTAATAACCCAAACAGTTATTGAGAAATCTGGTGATGACAACATGTACTTCTGCCCGACTTTCATCCCTTCCTTGCTTAAGTACTTTCTGCCCCTGGCTGGTCTGTGGTCTGGCCTACTCTTGGGTAAGTTTTATTTTGCACGTCTTTCTATAGCTGCTTGTTAATGTAATGTAATATAAAATAATAAGGCATGTTTACTGTTTGGTTAGGTGACCTTGGACGCCATGGAACAGGGACCATTTATCAGAAACTTTCCCAGAAGTACAAAAATGCTGCAAAAAAACCCACACAGGTACAAAAACCTAAAGCTTTGATGTAATATTGAATTTCAATGCATTATTCTATAATCAATATTATAAACTGCAATGTAAACAGTATGTAATCCAAGTGATTGTTAACAATATAATTTGATGTACCGTAACTAATATGTTCAACCGCAGAATTACACAGAGGACAACAAAACTCAAGGGATAATGGAAAAAAGCCAGTGGGACCTCAAAAAGATCCGTTTTCAACGGAGACGTCTGACCAGGCTGGACGATTTTGTACATACATACAAAGTCACCTTGAGCGCCCTGCTAAGGGAATATGGCGACTCTCTGAGGAGGGGGAAGAAGGTACAGTTTGTTATTTATATATGGCTGTTATGTTATCACATTTGTCCCTAGTCATTAAGCATTGCTATCGATTATGTTAGGAAAATATCACTCGCCACTGGCTTGAGTTTCAATAATCAGGATACATGTATTTATTATCCTTGCAAGAATGGAAGTATTCATCACGTACAGAGCATTTGGTACAAATAGTTCACAGAGCAGTGTCCTTCACAAGCTTTATATATAAGAGACTTGTAGACAGACTTTTTACACCGTCACAAGATAGAGGAATACCGGTTCAAAGCAGTATACAATGTTTAGTTCAGATTAGCTAAGGCTCACGACAGAAATGATTATGCTTGTCATATGTCTCTCTCCATAGAGGCTGAATCATCATGTTAATCACATAGCTATCATCTGCCTCAAACAGTCCTGGTGCTCTTCTAGGTCATCACACATCCCGTTACGTACACAGCTACTTAGGGTCTTTGTCATCATGTGCTACTCTGATATTCAAAGAGTACATTCAGTATTTTCCCAACAGTTATTCTGCAGGTAATTTGGTCATTATTAACAGTTATATTAGGTGTGCTAATAATATCACAATAATATTGATACACCAATCAAAACTGTGATGCAACTATGCTGAATGTAGTTGGTTTCATAATTTTGATGAATAATAATTAATGAAATAATACATTTATTTCAGGCAAAGATAATGTTTGTTGTGAAAAGAAAACATTGAATAATGTGAAATGGCAGAATATGTAATGAAAGGTAATTTATGAGTGCATTTACTCTGTCAATATTCCTTATGAACTGCAGACCCATCGTGCGGACATGGAGCGATGGAAACAAAGAAAGCAGAACAGGTCGAGGAGTTTATGTGACACCCATAAGCAAGCCTTTTGTTTTCAGACAGCACAAGAAGAATGTATGTATTTATGAGAGCAAACCATTGTTATCCTGTTTGTTGAAAATAACATAAATGTTATAATATTTGTGTTATTAACACTTTGTTTTTATCAGCTCATGCAGAAGACAAAAACAGCAAAAGCTCCAGCTCCACTACAAAAACAAGCGCCAGGTGAAACGGAAGCACATATTCCATCACAGGTAATCCCATTTAGCATGGTTAAACAAAGCCAGGAAGCATTGGAAACACATACATCGAAACCAGCTTGGAATCTACAGCTTAATGTTGCATTTTCTATTAGTATACTGTAATGATAGAAGAACTGAAGATTCAAATTGTGTGATGAAGTGATTAACTATGACATGCACTTAACAACACATATTGGACAATGTGGAAGGCAATGTTGATGTTTCGGCTTCTATACAGGATCCACAAGACAAGGTCAATCTTCATCCACATCAGACATGACGGAGCTGAGGATGCCGCACAGGGAGGTAAAGTGGATGCTTCATCAGAGGTAAGAAACTGTAAGGACACATCATCAGGGAGTTCATCAGAGGGACCAGATACAAATAGTAAAATAATTGATTAACTAAAAAGTTAAAATGCAGATTTTAATGTTTAAGGAATGCTAAAGGAACGTTATAAAATAATACCTTTCAATTTACAATGTGTATCTCATGCTCTGTTAACAATCTAGCTTTGGGACATAAAAATGATATAGTATTTTTTTTGTGACCCCCAGCTTGTGGAAAAAAAAGGACACTGAGGTGGTGGTGTCTGTAGTCCCCACTCAAATAAGAGGCAACAGTTTTACCATCCGTCACTCTGACATGCGGACCCTTAGACCACACCAGTGGCTGACAGGCGAGGTATTTCATCCATATCATAGGACAGAACCAGTGCTCATACCAAGTCTCTTCACTACACATGAATCCAATATTCATGTAACGCTAGCTTCATGGCACACCACTGAAGTCTTGTTAGCACCCAAAGCCTAAAATGTATTAAACTGTTTTTAAAAGTGAATCTTAAAAGGCATCCACAGTTGAATATTTAACTTTTATTGTACACTAGAAGAAGTAGTCAAATGTGGTCATTCACTGTTATAATTTTCTGTTTTTATCAACGAAACTTAACACCTGTCAACTACATTATTATTTATATCTGAGTCCGACCCTTGTCAATTAACTACGGGGGTCCCTCAGGGCTCTGTTCTTGGTCCCCTCCTCTTCTCCGTGTACACAAACTCGCTCGGATCAGTCATTAGCCCGCATGGTTTTTCTTACCACTGCTACGCTGACGACGCTCAGAGACCCAGGTCGTTGCACGCATCTCTGCTTGTCTAGCTGACATCTCTCAGTGGATGTCTGCTCACCACCTCAAGCTCAACCTTGACAAGACTGAGCTGCTCTTCCTCCTGGGTAAAGATTGTCCCACTCTTGACCTAACAAACAACATCGGCACCTCAGTTGTTTCCCCGACTCAGACTGCAAGGAATCTGGGTGTGACCCTAGATAACAACCTGTCCTTTACTGCAAACATCGCTGCTACAACCCGTTGCTGCAGATACACGCTTTACAACATCAGGAAGATACGTCCCCAGCTGACTCAGAAAGCGACTCAGGTTCTGGTCCAGGCTCTCGTCATCTCACGCCTAGACTACTGCAACTCCCTCCTGGCTGGTCTACCTGCATGTGCCATCCGACCTCTGCAGCTCATCCAGAATGCAGCGGCTCGTCTGGTTTTCAACCTTCCTAAATTCTCCCACACCACTCCGCTCCTCCGCTCCCTTCACTGGCTTCCGGTAACTGCTAGAATCCACTTCAAGACACTGGTACTTGCTTACCATGCTGCGAATGGATCTGGCCCTTCCTACATCCAGGACATGGTTAAACCGTACACCCCAGCGCGTGCACTACGCTCTGCATCAGCCAAACGACTCGCTGCGCCCTCGCTGCGAGGGGGACCCAAGTTCCCATCGGCAAAAACACGTGGGTTTGCTGTCCTGGCTCCAGGATGGTGGAATGAGCTCCCCATTGACATCAGGACAGCAGATAGCTTACACACCTTCCAGACTGAAAACTCATCTCTTTCGACTCCACTTCGAGCGATAGAACTACAGTGTTTCCCACAGATCTGAAATATACTTTGGGGGGTGGTGGTAGCGGGGGGGGGTTGAGGTAACGTGCAACAACATTAACCTTTCTGTTGGTCGCTTGTTAGCAGACCCTTCACGCGATGGCAGAGCGAACAGGTACAGGCAGGGTCCATAATGATAGCCCTATAGTTTAAATCTACTACCCACACATGAACATATGGAAATGGGTTACTATTTAAAAAAATAAATGTATTTATTAATGTATTTAGGAACCTATCCATGTGATTTTTAGTGGGGGTCGACCTCAAATCCTCTAGGGGGGTCCAGGGGCATGCCCCCCCGGTAATATTTTATTTTTTATTTTGGAGTTAAATGCATCAATCTGGTGCATTTTGAGGGGCAAATAAAGAGACTAGATCTATGGAAACACCTATATGAAACAGAACTGTATACATTTCAATAATCATAAAATCAAGGCCATAACCAACAACATACCATTTCCAATATGAAAAAAACACTGAAACTTGTTTATTAATTTAGTTTTGGTTCATTTATAGTTGTGAGTGTGTCTGTGCTCCTGAATCAGCCTCTCCTGTCTCCCTCCTCTCCCTCCTCTCCCCCCCTCCTCTTTGAGGCAGCAGCAAAGACTAGTTTTCTCTCAACAAGTTTTAAAAGTGTATCTTACCTTTTTTCACCTAGTTAACTTTTTATTTATTTATTCATGCATATTTGACTAATCACATTACATTTCATTTAGCTGACGCTTTTATCCAAAGCGACTTATAATGACCGATTACAGGGACATTCTCCCTGGAGTAACTAAGGGCTAAGTGCCTTACTCAAGGGCACACTAGTGGTGGTGTTCCTGGCGGGATTTGAACTCACAGCCTTCCGATCTTCAGCCCACCTCACTATCCATTAGACCAATCACTACCCTCTCAAATGGAAATATGTGTTTACATAAATGGTGACCACACCGTTTGAGACCCACAGAGAACTTAGACTAAGTTAACTATCTAAGCACTCAGAGAGTCCTTTACCTCACCTGAGCTGAGGTTATCCCGAGCTTGAATGACACACAGAGACCAATCAAGGGCTTTGATTTATGATCTGTATGACAGTGGCCATGTCGGCAGGCCACATCATGTGGACAGCCAGTCACCCTGTGTGAGGCAGGCCACTTAACAGGCCAGAAGGAGGCGAGATCAGAGCAAGGGAGCGAGGGATCATTGTCTACAAGTTAATCGATCGCAGATGGCGTCGTGGTCACGGACGAATACAAAAAAATATATATAAAAAAAAATGTATTAAAAAAAAAAAAAAAAAACTAAATGGGTCGCGAAATATACTTGGGCGGCCGTTAATGTACCTGGGCGGCCCGCCCAAGTATAGTCTATGTGTGGGAAACCCTGAACTATTAACGAAGCACTTTTATACTAATAAAGGACTGGCTTACCTAAAGCCAGTTGAGTAGCACTTGAAATGTTTGGCTCTATGAAATCTGATGTACTTTATGATTCTGTTTTCTTCAAGGTTGTGTCTTCCTGGTCGAATGTACTTATTGTAAGTCGCTTTGGACAAAAGCGTCAGCTAAATGTAATGTAATGTAATGTAATGTAATATAATTGTATTTCTTATTAATGTCTGCTTGTCGACATTCTCTCCAGATCATCGAGTGTCTTTTCCATATACATGCACATAAATGTGAACTGGGGACGAGGATTTATATTATCAACCATTACTCAGCTGGTGTGATCCTCTTTGGGAAAAGAGAAGAGGTCATGAAGCACACTTTGTCAAAGGTAACTTGTGTTTCTATTGAGGATAACTACAAAGGTTTTCATTATGTCTTTGTCTAAATATAAACATACTCTATCAAGCTATTTTACTCTACTGTATAAAGAAAACAAATACAGCCTGATGGGAAATGGAAGTTGTTTTGTTCTTATGTATTACAGATACACTTCGACAGCTATGGAGCCATTGTGTCCTTTGTACATGTGGACGGTGTACACTGGAAATGTCTGGTTAGTAGTGTCTATATCATATAATTGTATATTTCTTGATCAGCTAAGTTTTTGGAGATGTTGTGTTTATTTCAAAAATATATATTTATTTTTCTGTGTCCACAGTACATCAATGCTGAAGAAAGCACAGTGTATTTATCACTACCTGCACGCAACTCTGCAGAGCAGGCAGAGTCAGACAATGCTGCAAACAAATCCAGGTACTACCTGAATCCAATTATTTATTTCATTCTATTCCCTCATATATAATGTTTATATTTATTGTTATATTTATGTGGGAATAGATGGATCAGCTATATTGCCACAACCAGCCCTTTTGTTTTTTTATTGTATGTGCTACTACACCAGAACATATAATGTGTGAAAAATGTGTGCATGTTTGACTTTGGTCCATACAGATGATACCATAACACCCAACCCACTGAATAAACAACCTGTCCTTAGAGGGAACAATTGTCAATTCATTTTGACATCAGACTAGGTGTCTGCATGTTACATCTTAAAATATACATTTGGGAAACATGCATTAACATCACTTCAAATGGTGTTACTCGACTGCTGACACACAGTGTGACAAGGATGTATGTTATTATGCGAGTATTGTATTTATACAGTATGCATTGTACGTTAATAATATATCTTATCTCACGCAGTGATTACTTCAAAATGAGGAGGACCTGCTGCAGTAAGACGGACTGGGTAGACATAAAATGGAAGAGAGGAGTAATGAAACACCCAGTGCAGCAGGAGGGCAATAGCTGTGGGGTAGTTGTCTGCATGGTAAGTGGAATATTTATTTTCATATATGCTTTTTGCTAATATAACATTCTTTCAGCTTTTAGGATTAAGTCTGTTTTACTGCCTTTCACAAAAACACATTTGGGGTAGTTGGATAGTTATTTTAAGAACATAACATGGTGTATCACTTTAAGATGGCAAAGGAGGTCATGGAAGTGTTTCCTAAAACACCAACAATGGCCTTTGGGACCACAAAAAAGGAGATGGCGCATCAAAGAAAAGTGTTGGCCATGGAAATACTGACAGCATCAGGTGCGTTCTACTTTTTCAAAATATCAATTCAATTGTGATATTGTTGTACTTGAGATGTAACATTAGCATTTTTTTTCATCAGTGTTTGACAAAGAAGTCAACTGTGCCATGTGTGCCGGCATAAAACCACCCGGCTCAATGCCACATCACACCCACACTGACTGGGTAAGGTTTAATGAATATTGAGACTTCAGATATTTCACAATTTAGATTTGTAGAAAAGCATTAAATGAAAGCAGAAACTAAATACAAACACTTGAGGGATGCAGTTGACCATTGCTCAAAGCTGTTATAAGCAGGGCTTTACTCTCATTTGTCTCCACTCCTTCTATTGCAGATTCAGTGTGACAGCTGTTTCCGGTGGTGCCACACAGTGCCTGCATATGGACCAAAAGTCTCTTGAAGAGGCACAAGTTGGGGACTGGGTTTGCTCTCTGTGTGACAACATGCGGTTGCTGTATGTCCTATATTAACAACAAAAGGCACCGGCTGGGGACTGGGACTCCAGACTTTTCCAAAAAGCAGGGGATGTGGTTGCTGTGAAATAGTTTTCATTTATATGCTCAATTTGATATATTTAGAATATATATTTGAGATTTGTTTAACTAAGAAGTGACCGTTGAATAAATATTGCAAAACAAAGCCTATATCACATGGTAGCCAGTGTGAATTGTTTCCTACATTACAAGATTTCGATTTTCTATAGTACAAATCTGCGCCATTTCTTGTATAATTTCTCCAAACACATACAGTACAAATGCCTGTTTTGGAGTCTTCAAAAGGTGCAGTAGAAGGACTTTACATTTGTTAAAGACAGGATAATATAAGGTGTTGTGATCTTGGGGAATGAGCCTTGTACAGGGAAAGTGTGCTGGAGGCTGAAGACGTTGACTGGGACTGATGGATTGATGAGGCTGATGAGACTGAAGAATCTGCAAGGAAAGAACTAGGGGCAGAGAAATAATATATTATACATATATTAAAAGACATGCAGCGTCATAAGAGGCCAACAAGAGTGACAAGGGTGTGTCACTGTGCTGAAGGAAAGTTGTGAAGAGCTATCCAGGCCAGTCTCTAAAGACTTTCCAAAGTGTAACAATGATGTTGCTGGAGTACTGATCTAGTGGATCTAGTGTTCATATCATGTGTTTACCATATCCTGTTAAAATACTCTGTCCAACATAGTCAGTATTGTGAAGAACATTTTTCTAACGCTTATTATATATCAGAAACATGTTTATTACCAGGTAGGTTTACACGTACGAGGAATTTGACGTGGTAAAAAAAGAATACATTATTGTACTCTGGAACGGAGTTCAATCATTGTATCTCTCATCAAAGATGGCAGAAAACATGCATTATTGTACTCAGGGGTGGAGTTTGACAAAGGATTACTCAAAAAGTACACAGTAAAAGTACTTGATTGTACTTTTGGTAGTAGTCCAAGTAGTACTGAATCCAACAGTACCAATTACATGAAGAACTTATTGCACAAAATCATTTTATCTCTCATCAAAATGGCAGAAAACATGCATTATTGTACTCAGGACAGGAGTTTAAACGGGTATTACTCAAAAAGTACACAGTAAAAGTACTTGATTGTACTTTTGGTAGTAGTCCAAGTAGTACTGAATCCAACAGTATCAATTTCATTAAGAACTTATTGCACAAAATCATTTTATCTCAAATCAAAGATGGCAGAAAACATGCATTATTGTACTCTGGAGGGGAGTTTGACAAAGGATTACTCAAAAAGTACACAGTAAAAGTACTTGATTGTACTTTTAGTAGTAGTCCAAGTAGTACTGAATATAACAGTACCAATTACATTAAGAACTTATTGCACAAAATCATTTTATCTCAAATCAAAGATGGCAGAAAACATGCATTATTGTACTCTGGAGGGGAGTTTGACAAAGGATTACTCAAAAAGTACACAGTAAAAGTACTTGATTGTACTTTTGGTAGTAGTCCAAGTAGTACTGAATCCAACAGTACCAATTACATTAAGAACTTATTGCACAAAATCATTTTATCTCTCATCAAAGATGGCAGAAAACATGCATTATTGTACTCTGGAGGGGAGTTTGACAGGGGATTACTCAAAAGGTACACAGTAAAAGTACTTGATTGTACTTTTAGTAGTAGTCCAAGTAGTACTGAATCCAACAGTACCAATTACATTAAGAACTTATTGCACAAAATCCTTTTATCTCTCATCAAAGATGGCAGAAAACATGCATTATTGTACTCAGGGGTGGAGTTTGACAAAGGATTACTCAAAAAGTACACAGTAACAATACTTGATTGTACTTGTGCTACTAGTCCAAGTAGTACTGAATCCAACAGTACCAATTACATTAATAACTTATTGCAAAAAATCATTTTATCTCTCATCAAAGATAGCAGAATACATTCTTTTGTGTACTCAGGACAGGAGTTTAAAGTATTACTCAAAAAGTACACAGTAAAAGTGCTTGATTGTACTCGTGGTAGTAGTCCAAGTAGTACAGAATTCAGCATAACCAATTTTATTAAGAACTCATTGCAAAAAAATATTGTATCTCTCATCAAAGAGGGCAGAAAACATGCATTATTGTACTCTGGAGGGGAGTTTGACAGAGTATTACTCAATTAGTACACAGTAAAAGTACTTGATTGTATTTATGGTAGTAGTCTAACATGTACTGAGTCCAACAGTACCAATTTGATTAAGAACGTATGGCTAAAAATCATTTTAACCCTCATCAAATATCATTGATTGATTGATCAAATGTAGCATAAGCACTTTTACTACCGTCAGCGCCACTTCTCGGCGATTACCGTAAAGACGCTATTAATCGCGCACTCAAAAATGAAGTGCTGCTCATTTGACCAAGCAAATGCGAGAGACGGCTGAGTTGACCGCAGTTCAAGATGGCGCAGGCAAATCAACTTCCGGTGAGACCGAGGACCGAGGAGCGAGGAAATGAAAATAGTCGACCTGAGAAGCAGCCTATGTGGTAAGGTGAGTCACAGATGAGATCTGCCTCACCTCAGAATGCGTCACCTCACAGAACCTGGCTGGAAAGCGGGCCCTAAGCGCATGCCTGCACCATCTCACTGTAGGTCACCAATGTAATGTTTGTAGATCCCTCACTCAAAAAACTGACTTTTTGGTGTAGTAAAATATATTTAATTAACTGTCGTACTTTTTACATGGTAATATCAAGATTCACAAAGAACTAGAATGTATTAAGTAACATTTTAAATGTATACACCTTTTATTCATGTAATACATTTACAGTGTGGGAGGAGTAAGTTTTATTATATATTTACTCATACTATTTAAATGATTTATAATCACTGCTCATAAACCTTAAAATACTAAGTAAATGTTAATCTAAAACCATAGTAGCTGTTTGAATCCGCGCATGCGTCTTGACAAGACAAGATACCCGCGTTTTTGGACGATGGTTCAGTTGGGTTTGCAGTTGCACATTTGAAGGCTGTCGGAGGAGCTGTATGGCTGGAAAAGGAAGTGTTGGTAAGTTATTGTCTCTCTGTTTAAGACTTATGATCATATACAGGGTTCGTACGGGTGCTTGAAATCCTTGAAAATGCTTGAAATTTGACGTGGTGTTTTCAAGGTTGGGAAAGTGCTTGAATTTTGGGAAGGGTGCTTGAAATTGAGATAAAGTGCTTGAAAATGTAAATGCTTTACTTTTACAATAAATGTCTGTCTGACTGAATAGTTCGCTTTTTAGATTAAAAGAAAATAATTGCTTCGCTTCTAAAACAGCTCCGCTGCACCTTCCCGCGCTATGCGCGCGACCTGCACGTGTTTGTGTTACTGTGACCTGGGCATTCTGATGAGAGAGAGATGACTGTGTGCCAGGAGGTTGCCGTTTCAACGAGTGTTGGCTAGCAGAAGACAAATGCAAGCCATGGCTAAGACGAGGGTCAAGCCCACGAGTAGCCTCCTGCAAAGTTTGCAACATAACGATGCGAGAGTCTGCGCTGACGAGCCACATGAAAGGTACGCCGTAGAAGAGCATTTTAGATTAGGCTAACGTTGCATGTTACGTTTGTTAAAGCTAACGTTAGCGAGCTGAATAGCGAACTCCATGAGGGATAATAATAATTGCAGGGGAGAATCATTTCAGAGGAGCGTACCTATGTTATGTGCGTTACAGTCGCCATCCTGTGGTGTTCAGAGGATGAAGCTCTCACGGCATTTCGTGTTGTAGTCACGAAATATAATCTCTTGATTCGACACAGAGCGATTTTGAAAGCAATGTATTTCTACTGGTAGTATGTTTCGTGCCTCAACCAAATGTGACTTGCTCTATCGAAATCAGCCACATTGACCCGAAGACACATCTTAATTTGTATTACTGGTCTGGGGGAAGCTCGCGAGTGTGTTTGTGTATTTGTGCGTTTGTGTACCGGGGAAACACTCACAAGAAACACCGGCTGTTGTTATGCCTGCTGTGACGTCACATTAGTCCGTGTTGTGGAAATATTTTCCAAGGCCCATAACTTTGACCCAGTGTATCAGTTCAAACTGTCCTGACTGAGCACAGGCACCTGTAACCTTGGCTGCTGTGCTCTCAGTGTGTTGTCTCCCTGTTCCTGCCTGTTGGCGTCAGCTGATAGAGGTGTTATCATTCTATCTTGTTATGCAGCATGTTGATGATGCTCTCTGAACTAGCTAAATACATGGGTCTGGGGTAGAGTTCTTCAGAATTGACGTGGCAACTCTACCGTGAAGTCAGAACCTCTGACTCTTGGACTTGTGATGTGAATCCTCCGGCCGTTAACTCCAAATAAACCATCATGTGTTTTACATCAAAGCTACTGCTCTTCCCGTCTCTACTTCCTGAGTCGATGACTCCCACTGCATAGCTACACAGAAGTTTCCTCTACAGTCCGTTCTCTGCTTGTAATTATGCCGAAGCTTCAAAGTTGTATTTATCATCTGAATTTGCCGAAACAAGTTTAATATTCTGAAAGCCAAGACTTTGTTTACTTGAAAACAGATGAAAACAAACTGTCTTTATATAAAATTGAAGTATTATTCAAGTAAAACTACATGTTGCTTTAATCCCATGTAATTGTAGAATGAACACAGTCTTCCTTTGCAGATGGATAAGTCAGGTGTCTTGAGTAGTCAGAATTACAAATTATTGTACACATTTGTAAATATTATTTTCCACTTGTTACCATTGTGAGGCTATTTTTATGCAGCTCTGCGTGATTTTGTGGCTACAATTCAGACTAATACGCTAGAGGTGGAATAAGAACTCAGATATTGTAGTGAAGTTATAAGTACTCAGATCTTGTACTTGAGTCAAAGTAGAAGTACCAGAGTGTAGGAATACTCTGTCACAGTAAAAGTCCTGCATTCAAAATGTTCCTCAAGTGAAAGTAGAAAAGTATTCTCATCAAAATATAGTGAAAGACAGTAAAAGTAGTCGTTGTGCAGATTGGTCCATTTCAGAATAATATATATGATATGTTTTATAATGATTGATCATGAAAGTGTTCTCAAAGCTGGTAAAGGTGCAGCTAGTCTGAAGTACTTTGTGTACTGCAGGGTAGCTGGTGGATTTACTCCAGGTGGAACTAAAGTCTGATTCAACACTTGATTATATTTCACA